GTATTCATAGCCACTCTCCAATGAACTTTATGCAGACGAGCTCGAAGAAAAGAAAATTGGCTTCAGAAAATTTGTATTTTCCGACAATTTAGACCATCAAGACCCCCAAACACTTCCCCATCCCAAATTTTCAAATTTTCGTTTACCTCTCATCACGCGCATTAGCATCAATACCGTAGCGTCCTCTAACTATATAACGTTAATGTGACGATCGTTAACTTGCACTAATACGATTAGACCATATCTCGTTTCACTACATTGCGCACCTCACGCTCAAAAATTTTCTGCTCATCGATTCGGTCTGTGTCGATTTTTAGCCCCTATTACTGTACTCTACCCGTAACTACCGTGATTATGCTGATTTTCAGGTGTGCTCCTCCAACTAGTGAGCTGTTTGCAATGTCGACGATGCGCACACTACTTTCTTCCTCAGCTTGACCTGCTGCGAGGGAAACCTCATCATTTATTGGATCAAAGCTCAAAAATGGCTTGGAATCTCGTAAGAAAGTTAATGTTGGATGCTAGAGCATTAGAAAGTTTATAAATAGAAATTTTATTGATTTTTTCGCAGTCATATCTTCCTAACTAGTTGCCTCACCTAATTTCGAACATTACTAGTGATACGTGCTTTCATGTTTATCTTGTTTACCTATTCATATCCCTTTTCTAAGGGAAGAAATGCTATGCGGGATGAACTCCAAAATTTTTGCCCTTTTGATACTTTTAGGCCCAATAAGGCCCCAAATACGAGTTACTGTTTGTTTTGTGTGTTTCTCGGTGCTTAATAAAACATTCTTACCTTTGGATCTTGTTTCTTGTACAAAGGATTCTCCTCATCAGCATCAAAGAAGAGGTCAGTGGCGGTGATGGAAAGTGTTCCAGGTACAACGAGTCCTGGCGCGATAAGTTTTGCCGGTGTACTATAGCTCGTCACTTCTGCAAGTAGGAGAATAATGCAAAGTGTCTGCAGCAGTCAATAAGCTATTGATATCAGGCAACCTGTACAGCATGCCCGTGCTCCAGTTTCTTCAATCATTGCTTACAGAATCTTATTTCTTTCCTATTGAATATCATCAGTATCAAATCAATCAATAATCGAGCACAGCCAGTTGGTGACTACGATTCTCAAAAGTTCTCCGTTATGGCCAACGTTCCGTATTGATCGATGATCGTCAAAATCAGCTATTTACTCCCCATAACAAAATTTTCATTGTTAGTTGATCTCTTTTGGATCGATAGTTGATTGTCACCAGTCCCAATCAATAATCGATTTTGGACAGTTAGATAATACAGTATCCCCCTTCAAGTTTTTCGCTTATGATTTATTTTTATCAAACATAATAGATTATCACCTACTTACACCACAGTACTCGTATTCGATTTCTTCACTCGTATC